CCTGCCCCCCTTTGCATTTCTGTGGGGAGATGGACCACAGAAGCCGGACTGCTTCGGGTGTCCTGGTGTACAACCAGGTGCCTTAAGAATGCATGCTCATGACTGCAGGGACCACTTCCCTTCCCTTCCTGTCTCCTACACAGGTTACTCTTCTTCTTGGCCTAAGGGGGTGGTATGGAAAGGGGTAAGTCAAGGGGAGGCTCCTGGCAGGAACAGTGAAAAGGAAAGAGCAGAGTGCATTAAATGTGATGCTTTGGCTTTCTCTTCTTTCTTCAGTTACAAGTTTGGAAACAGTGGAAATTTCTGGGCAAAATACCATGCCCAGGAAATCTGTGTATTTAATTTCCAAGAAAACATCCAGTTTGCCCTCTGAATATAGGAAACAGCCTGGTGGAACTGCTAACAATCAGAGCATGCAGAATGCTGCCCACACAGCTCACACACCCACTGATGCCATCCAGGTGGGAGAGGCAGCCGCAGAGGGCTTAGGTGGTGGTTGGGGGCACTTTGGCCAGACTCTGAAATGGTCTACAGGGCTGGAGCTGGTGGCTCCATGGCCATGGAGTCCTTTGATGCTCCCAAGACCCATGAGAGGACCAGAAGGCTAGAACTAGGGTAGGCCAGGGAAGGCTTTCCTTTGTGTGTAGCCTCCCTGTGTCACATTCCCCAGTGGGCAGGGCTGTGAGGGGCCTGAAACACTGCCATCTATCCCAGCAAACATCAACACACATGCATGCACACACACACACACACACACACACACACACACACACACACCCTGGCGTGGTGGGACTGACTGTCTGGCCTCATCCCAGGACTGCTCACCCTCACTACATGGGCAAGGAAGAGAGCTAAGACAGGGTCCAAGACCACTGCTTGGCAGTAGCTGGCTCAACTGGCTATGCCTTGGGTTTCTCATCAGTGCAGTGGGTATGCAGCCATTCTTGTGCTTTTCACAAAGATTTCAAGAGACAGACAGTTGCCTCTTGTCTCCTCTCCACGTGGAGTACAGTGGGACAAGTGGGCAGAGAGTGGGGCTAAATATTCTTGGGTGTTTAACGGGTCTCATGAGTTTAAAAGGCAGGCCTCTGTGGGGACACAGCTGAAGAGCAGGCATCCAGACTGGAGTTTGTACCCTGGCATTTCCTCCTGCACAGGGCTTATCGCACATGTGTGCTGGACACAGGCACTTCCCACAGTGCCCCTGTCCTAAAGCGTGGTGCCTTCAGAGGGTGGCTCTGAGGTAGGAATGGGAGTCCCAATGCTTGGGTTCATTGTTCTAGTAACAGTCATGCTCTGCTGAAGGTCAGCTCGCTGTCTGTCTGCAGACAGTGGGTGCAGAATTCAGATCTACCCACTGTGTTCAGACCCCAGCACTGGACAGCCCAACTATTCAGCATGGCTGGCCTGTCATGACCTGGGCCACCTTTAAACACAGCCCCTCAGTGGGAACTCCATGCAGGCAATTCAGAAAAGGCTTTGACAGTGGCGTTCCTCAGGCTGAGATATTTTCCACAGGGCCACTCGGATGGAGCCTAAGGGAGGACTCACTAGCCTGCTTCTGTCATTGCTGGGCTCTGAGTACATCCTGAGGTTCTAGAGGATGGATATCACCTCAGAGGCTGACAAGCCAGTGCACAGAGACCCAGGGGTTTACAACTGCATGCAGATTGTGAGAGGTCATTGGCATCCAATGGTGAAGATTGAGGGTCTGCAAAGGCAGAATTGGAGGAATGGGGACACAGTTGTGTGCGGGATGCTGAGCTTGTGTCTTTACAATTCCCCATGGACAAGGCAGGGGACTGCAAGTGTGCTGTGCAGCATTCTCACATGGGACTCCTTTGAGACAAGTTCACAGAGAGAGGGAGAGAGCTGGAGTGAGAGAGTGAGAATGAGAACAAGAGTGGGGGGGAAAGGGGAGGGAAGAGGAGGGGGAGAGAGGACAGGAGAAAGTGGAGAGGAGAAACAGAGAGAGAG